TCAGACAATGCCCGACCCTGGGATGTTACAGTATATCAATTCCTTTGGTTGATAAAACGAGATTTCCCAAAGTCAAAGAATCTGTCAACATTGATAAAAATTCGGTTAGCAAGATTACAATGGATATATGACATGATAAACCAATTCATCTAAATCAGTGACATCTAGATCAGCTCACAGAAAATTAATTATCTGCTCACTTTCTGATGAGTACGTCTGAGAGCGCACATATCCTTAAGATGACGATGTGGATCAATATCTTGATTTTATGTAACTGAGTGATCATTTAATAAATAAAGTGAAATGAATCAATGTTTTTTCACTCCTCTAAATGTACTCTAGCTTCCTCCCACAGTCCAGAAACATGCATGTTAGGTTAATTGGTGCCTCTAATTTGTCCTTAGGTGTGAGGATGTATCTCTATGTGTGTCTCTATGTTGCCCTGTGAAGTGAACCCCGCCTCTCGCCCGTAGATCGCTGGAGATAATAGGCGGCAGAAGAAGGATGCTTGGAAAATATAAAATACCAATCATTTGATAATAACAGGAAAAAATAAAGACCTGTAATTATCTTTCCAGAAAATGACAACATTTAGTTCACTTTGGGTAAAAAATGCAGTTAATCATAAAACAAATTAATTAAATCACTGTTTTTTTCTCCATCTCCTGTTTGAGTTATTAAAGCAGAATTTTCCTGCTAAACTTAAACCTTCGTCTTGCTTTTGTTTCCTCTTCCATTGCAATTAGTCCCTTAAAAACCTGAACTTTACTGATGTGCAAGCATGTGGAACATGCTGGTGAAGGTTCTCATCCAGGTCATAGTCATTCCAAAAAGAGAAAATTGAAAACAATCTATTGGACTTTGTTTCCAAGTTTGAAGACGTTTCGCTTCCCATCCAGGAAGCTTTTTAAATTCAAAATGTCAGAAATAGTGTTGAGTTTGAGGCTTTATACAGTAGTCTATCAAAACCTTGTTTTGTTGTTTTGAAAACATGCAAACTGAAATGGACGAAGGGGTCCGCCCCTTTGATATGGGGGTCGTTTGGCTTCTTTTGTTAGCCTACAACGCCCCATACCTGTCTAAGTCTCTGAAAGGGGGTCGATAAAGGGAACTGTTGGCCTGGCTGAATAGGCGAGGCCCTCCGGCCTTCTGTACAGGGGCTGGGGCTGCGATAATAGTGGGAAGGGATCCACTCTATTGCTGCATAGTAGGTTTTTGAAAGCTGAAACCTGAGTCCACCCCCTCCGTATAAGGTTGTTTTTTTCTTTGGAACATGTAAAGATAACCTGTAGTGATGTATTATTTCAGGCTTGGGCTGGATGAGCAATGAATAAACACGACCACCATAAGATTCTCTGGAGGTGACTGTTCACATCCCCACTGAACTCACTCAGGGTTTCCTGTTGCACTAAGAAAGCTCCTGTACTGAAGCAAGAGCTTCAAAACGAGGCTATAAAAGCACTTAGAAAAAAACAGAGATGACCATGATCCATGCAGACCTAAACAAACACAGAATAATAAAAGATTATCAGATCTTCTGGAGGTTTCTGCATATATGAACGACCCCCTCCTTCACTCACTCATGTATTTCCAACATAATTAGGTATCTGGGTACTCAAGTTGCACGTTCTGGTTCTTCCTCGTTTTGTGATGGGATACTAATTCACTCTCAGAGGCTCTGCATAGCAATAGCATGAGCGCGATTCTTACATCTGGCATTGGACACTTTATTGGAAGCTGTGCCAACTTGCAGAGAAGGCCAAGAGGCAGCAGGCGAGTCAAAGAAAGCAAGGCTGTAATATGTTGTCCTTCTGGACACCACTTTAGATCCATGACTATGTGCTCCTGGGGAAACAAAGAGCGATTAAACCCAGAAGGAGTTGTGATTTAACAGCACTTTGGTCATTTCGGTAATGTAAAATGCTTCTTTAAATAAAGCTGGATTGGATTGGATTTAGAGAAACATGAGTAAGCCATTTAATCTTAGGGGCACATTGCCCTATTTCAGCCTCAGAATATTTACTACTCTCTCATTCAGCAGCTAATAAGGATCGTTTGCAAATTTGCTTGGTTTCCCCTGAAATTCTGCACCCTGCTTTCACTGATCTCACCCAAAATATTGCATTTTCTGCTTGTTTCAATCCTTCTCCCTCTCCTCACACTTCTTTTTTTAGCAGGCCAAATCAAAGTTGCTGGGTCTTTATTTTTACTTTTTGCTAGGGAGCTTTGAAACGAAGCTGTAAACCTGTCTAGTAACAGTTTCAGTTAAGAAAGAAGAGAACAGGAGAGCAGCCAAGACAATTTTGTCTTCTTGGGGTGTGTTTATTTGGCTCAGTAAAGTTCATAGCAGCCTAACTTCACATAAAGGACATGAATAAAGGTTTCAGTCTGTTCAGCTTTTAATGCCGGCTTATTTGGAGAAAACAAGGATAAAATCATGACCCGATAGTAATAATCCTTAAATCTTTTCTTAAATTTTAACAGCAATGGCTTCATAGAAGGAAGATATCAGCTACTCCTAAAGCGTAAAAACTAAAACCTATGAGGTGTTTCATAAGTCAACATCTGGATGCCAAAGACCGCTTCTAAAGAAAAAAAGCCAATAGTAAAAGTTCCTTTCTCCACGTAACATTTCCATCCATAGAATTTGGTGCATCTTTCTCTGATGTTGGTTTACCCACATCAATGTGCTTTCAATGCTAACGTGCTCTGAATGTTCGCATTAAAAGCAGCATTTTGGGAAAATTGACGTAGATGATTTAGTCAAAGGTTTTGATAAATCTCAAGTTAAAGCCAAGTGAAGGGACGAGCCGAGCTGATTCACAGGGTTCCTGCGGGTCCTTAAAAAGTCTTAAAAGGCATTGAATTCTTCAAAATAAAACTAAGGCCTTAATTGGTATTAAAATGTCTTGAATCAGTCTTTCGTAGGTCTTATTTTTTTAAATATCCTAAATAGGATTATTTTTATTACGATTTATTTTTGTAATCTAAA